GGAACCAATCTAAACTCAGTTTTATAAAATACTACTTGTTGATAGTTCATGACCAAGTTCCTGAATTTATCCTTGTCCGATCCATAGAGTTATTTATCCTCATTGCATAATCCTTCACGACTCCCTGTTTTTTTTTCGTATTAACACAAGACAATAAGATCATCGATACAATCAATGTGTCTTATTGACACATTTGTTCAAGTTTAACTACTTAACCGTACTGTTTGTTAGTTATTATCAAATTGTATGATTGCAGCGGCGGTAGCGGTGTGACCACTCGAGCGGTTTCAAAATCATACAAGTTCTGAATGTATTTCTTGCTAGATTTAGTTTTTGTTATTATTAAATCGAGGCTTACGAATTGAAAATTCAAAAATGAATAAATATATGAAGTAACTAGAATATTTACTACTATTAATTGACATAAAATTGAAAAATAAGCATACCCTCATTCTCGTCATCGAATTTAACAACAAAATAGTCGAGCTAACCATAACAACAGTATAGTCCCCACAATAATTAGTTTATTTGATTACAGACTTGCCCCATATGTCACATTGTTTAACACTCACCTCTAGAAATGTTGGGTTTGATTGTTTTGTCTAATGCCATTGCTATTGCTTGTCAAATACCTCAGCCTCTTCCAAGCAAATTTCAAATTGGAAAACCATTGTGAAAAGGATATTTAAAGGAAGCTGCCAAACTTGGCTAACAATATTGAACACAAACTACTATACATGCAACACAACAACAACAACAACAGCTAGGATAGAGACATCCCACCATACACTTCCAATATTGAGCAGTTCTTCTCATCACTCCCTCAATGAAGGGGAAAAAAGAGAAGCCATCAAGAGTTTGCCTTTTTCTTCTGATTTTTTCCTCTGGAGCTTTCTCTTTTATCATTTCAATGATAGAGATAAGCATTTACATATAAGAATTTTCATGACTTATCTAACCCAGAAAAAGAAAACAAAAAATGAAATAATCAAAGATACAAACAAGAGAAGATGGAAGAAAAAGGTGGCCAGGTTGGGTATCTATCTTGGGTCCATTGTGTTCAATGGACATTAGTGATATTATTATGATTATGGTCATCACAATTGATTGAATTCAGCTCCCCCCAACAAGTGGTTGATTTCCACATTGTGATTAATGGAATTATAAAAGTGGGTATTACTTACTTAGCAAAACTGGTTGCCTTGTTAGATGGTTCATGAATTTTTGGATGACTTTTTTCAGATGGTGGTGGTTGCTGAAAGATCATGCAATGGTGGGCCAAGACAAAGAAAAAGATAGCAACTTTGGCCCTTTGTGGTGGTGGTGGTGTCAAAAATTTGAGCCCATAAACTGCAAACCCCATCACCATCCTCATGTGACTTCTCTTTCGCACATTCAAACCATGTCATAGATTTCTAGTTAGGAATTTGATGCTAACATTTATGAATGACAGCCTAGCCTAACATTTGTCAATGGGCTCTGAAAAAATCTTTTTCCTGAAAAAACCAAACACTAAAGTTTGGGGTTATCTTGTGAGTGGTCAAATTCGTCCGCTTAATTTTCAGTGTGATTCGAAACAGAACGAAAATCAGAGTTCAAACTTGTCTCCGACATACATGGATCGAGTTACGACCAAGTGTGAAGTTATAAAAGGCTTTCATGGCCCATCTGATACAGGGAGACAATTCATTAGCTCCTAAAAGGCTAAACCAAGAGATTACTATCTTCGTACTTAAATATTATAACGATAACATGACCTAATATAGAAATTCGATGAATTTGGTATGTTTTTAGTTTATAAAAATAGGTCTAGGTAAAATTTCTTGTTACAATCCGAATAATCTTATCACAAAATAATACAAAAGAAATTTTCAAATGCATCCAACTCTGAATCAATCGTGAATTGAATCTATCTATCATACATTAACTAATAAATCAAATATGTGCAAATACCCTGAGGTCTATCTGTTTACATCTCAGTATTCAAACAACTCAAGCAACGAATAATCTAATCAACAAGTTGTTGATAATAACAAATGAAGGGAAAAAAAATCTATTTTAACGAGACAACTAATCAACTTTTGTTGTTATGTGGTGGGATAGGAGAAGGGGCAATATGGTAAAGCCACGTGGAGGGGGGAGATCGAGTGTCCTGGACCTCGTACTGCGGTAGGGCCCAACTGGAGTGTCCTAATTTCCCGCCTTATTCCAATGCAATGAAGTGGCCGTACAGTTCTCCCCGCTTTTGGTGGTGGTGCCGTGGTGGGAAGGCGCAGTAGCAGTTTTGTTGGCGTATCTGCCAGCGTGGGCGGGACCCACTTCTTTGTCGCTGCTTCATTTATCTCGTCCGTCTAAGCAGGGTTGTGGGGTCCACTCCTCCTTTTTTTTGTACCCAAACGATGCGAAAAAGGAAATTGTAAAACAAATAATTCTTTTCTTGATCGGGTCGCTGTTTTTCTGGCTGGCAGTTCGTATCCGAAGGGAAGGCAGGCACGCGATTCTGGGACACTATTTTTCTTTTTCCGGATAATTATTATAGAGAAGAGAGCAGTTGCACTTGACGTGGAAATTTGACCGTTCGGTGGGAACTGCAGACACGTCATCTCTTCCAACAAATCCTTTTTTCTATTTTTTTTTCTTTGGATAATTGATGAAATAGTAAAGCCATAGCCCATAGCTAGTGTAGATTGCTGAAATAGTAAATCCATCATTCAGAAAATTCATATTTAACGGAGAATTAAATATATTTTTATTTTTTTAGCTTTTTTAATTTGCTTATATTTTTTTGTTTAACTTGGATTTCAATTGTTTTTTTCACAGATGGAAAGAGTTTGTTGTGCTCTACAAAATGAGATTCATTTTCAATATTTTTTAAGAAAAAAATTTTCATGTCTCTCGTACCAACTGCATACCATGTGATATCTTCTTCGTTTTTAAGTCGTTTTTGAAAAATTTTGCACAGAAGAAACGAGTTCATCATGATCTATTTGATCCATAAATTTTTTAGTTAACAAAATACATGACCAAAAAATATCACACAATACCACAAAATACCACCTTGATATAGGGTGGTATCTTGTGGTACACAATGTCGAAAGTCGTAAATGACAGTTAGTGTACTCATACTATCATGTATTCAACCATCCTACAGTCTTGGTATGTTCATAACACCATTACGCTTTTCATACAATATGTTATACTCTTATTTCAATACCAGTTAATACCATATGGTATAGACTCGTAAAAAATGGCTCAATTTTTTTTGTTCAAAAAATATATCAAAGTGGATATAATTTTGAAGAGCACAACTAATATGATCTAACTGTGCAAAAAAAATTCCGACTTAAAACGAATGAGAAATCGTCCATTAAAGATTAATGGGGAAAAAATAAAGGCTTTTCAAGAGGGAGAAGAGGCGCTGATGTAGCGGATTCTGATTGGGTTATGCATGATTATTAACCAGAAGGTTATGCACCGGATCCACTCCCCACTTTAGGGGAGTTGCTAGCTGAATCACTATTTGTCGTCCTAAAATTTAAATAACTTCGCCCTAAATCATGTGAAAATGACGTTGATACCCCTATCCCCAAATCAAAATTCCAATCCCTCGTCATTATTCCCATCAAGAACACCTTCTAGTGATTTTTTATTAATAACTCGAGTTGTTGGAAGATGTTCAATTGTGGATCGTATGTAATTTATTAACAGTCAACACTCCACCTCAAACTCAAACCACTAAGATAGGTTTGGAGTTTGCCCAAGCACAGGTCTGGATACCATGTGCTTAATAGAAACAGAAACAGAAACAAATGGGGTCATCGAGAATCGAATACAAGATCTTTCGGCTACAGAAGGCTCTGATACTATGCAACGGCGGAACCGAGACTTAGTAGAACACTAGGCCACATTTGCATAGAAAATTGTTATCGTAAACAAAAATATATAACAACTATAATTTTCATTACAATGCCAATTTTACAAGAAGGTCTTTTACTTTAGCAAATCCATCAATAATAGAATCTCCATCCATACCAATAACATACACTCTCTCAAAGAAAATAACTAAGCAATCAACAGGAAATTTATCACTCATTGATTGCGCAAATACGTTTTCACATGCTCCATTGCTGAAAATGTTCTCTGCATGGTAGTCGTTGAATCGGGTAAGGTCAACACTAAACGAATCTAGCGATAAATCAATTTGTATCGGGTCCGTTCATATCCTCATTCTTGTTTTGTTTTCGGGTGAGTGGAATTTTCCCCCAGTTTTGCAGGGAAGGGTGAGCTATAGGTTAGATGTTTTTTTTATTCCAATAAAACTATATACTTTAGACTTTTAGGTTTTTTTTTTCAAATACAAATCATCTGGGCTAAAAAAAATTAGTCTAAATTTAGAGCAGTGATTTAGATATGTTCTTATGATCCATTTTCTAGTTACACAAATCATTTTATCATATAAAATTGGACCGATTTTTAAATAGAATTAGACCGAATACCTAAAATAAAAAATTTTATAAACAATATACTAACTTTGGATCTAAAAGAAGGTTGAACCGTGATCTGGACTGGCTCAACTCTAGATTCGTCGGTGATATTATGTTAAGAATTCGTTGATTTCAATAACTAAAAAAGAAAGGAGAAAATAAAGCTTTAATAGAGCAGTCATTAGGACTCAAAGCCCGACCACCGATGCTGTATTGCCAAGGTACTATTGGAGTCCTTCGGCCTGTTTTACCTAGGGCTTCTCTTCTTCGGATATGAAGGTTACAGTCCTTATTGGGCTTCTTAACGCCGATAAGTATTCCGGATGAGCAACTAAATCACGCAGCACATTTCCTTGCAAGCGCACGGACTCATTGAGAGCTGGATCTTCTTTCATAAAATGGGACCTAAAGTTCTTGGGCCCTACCTAAGTGGGCAACTTGGTTACGGCCTGAATTATATGAGCCTTACTGGACCAGCCTGGTCCAATGGTACATTTAACTGAGCCCACGGGCCATGTCGGGGAACGAAAGAACGCGAGTTAGACGGCTGATGGGGCCGGAGGAGGAGTGCCAGCGCAGCGGCAGCGGGGACTGCCACGGCGACAATTCCTTCACCTGGCTGAGCATACTCGTCCTCACTGGGGAAAGGGAGAAAATTCGAAGATTTTCTTTTGGTTGACGAAGCAAGCAAGGAAGGAATCTTGAAAAACCCCAAGCACGCAGCAGGCAGGAGGAAGAAAAGGAATTATTCTAAGGGCTTTCCCGCTTGCTAAATAACACGCCTCGCCCTTTTCCCCCCGGGGTTCGATAGAGTTGATTGCCGTCTGCCGACTCAGCTGATCTAGTAGCGTCCGCAGCCGGAGTTGTGGGTCGGATCAAGATCTTAGTGGGCGAAGCTGGGTAGAGCTCCTGAAAACCCCATTTGTTCAGTTTGTCTATTCCAATTCTGGTCTCTTGGGCTAGTGAGAAAAGGGATCTTTGGGTTCTGCTGATTGTGCCGATTTGGGAGCGAGAGTGAAAGAGTCTTCTCAAATGGCAATCAACAAGTCTAGACCTAAAAAGCCCTCCAAATTGTCCGTTTACCTTTATATTCCCAACATTATTGGTGGGTTCGTCTTCCTGTTTTCTTTGCTTCCCTTTTGCCATTTTGCATGAGTTCATTTCACTTCTATTGGCTGATATTGTGAATGGTGTTCTTGGTAACCAGGCTATGTGCGGGTTCTCATGAATGTCTATGCCTTTGCTATATGTTTCTCCAACAAGCAGCTTTTCTGCATCCTTTATTTCATTAGGTGAGGGATAGTGATGTGCTCAATTGGGAAGCTTGCTTCTAAAGTTTTGGCAATAAGATTGGATGCTTTTACTTTGGTTTCAGCTTTGTGTGTGATGGGATTGATGGTTGGGCTGCTCGGAAATTCAATCAAGGTACCACTACTATTCCCTGACTTTTTCCCCTATGTGTAACCACTAGAGGAGTAGAGGTGAAAGGAGCTCATTTTCTGACTTGGACAATGATTCATTGAGTTAGGCATGCCAAAAGGAATACGATGATTCATTGAGTTAGTCTAATTTACACACTAATTTTCGAAGCTCAACTCTAAATGAAAACGAAAAGCCCCTTTAGGCATGCCAAAAGGAATACGAAATCTGTTTCAACAGTTCTCTAAAGCGTCATTCCTGATTTACTTTCTTCCATCTCAGTTTCAACTTTTGGAGCAGTTCTGGACATGATAACAGACAGGTAGGGGCTTTTTGGCTATTGGGGTAGCTCCTTGTGTTTCCATACCTCTTCTGAGTTTGAGTATCGTGTTTTCTGTACAGGATTAGCACTGCCTGTCTGCTTGTAATCCTTTCTCAAGTATACCGGTATATCTCTCTTGCATGGTTGTAGCAATTGCTTTGTGATTCTCTTATGTGAGCGCAGTTCTTAGTTTTGGCATTGATCATGCAGACCTGGCTTGACTTTTGTATCACTGCTTGCCCTGGATATTGGTAGCCACTGGCTGCAGATGTACAGGTGAGTTAATGTGTGATCGAAAAGTAGTTTGATTGGTTCCTTGCACTTTGATATAGTTGGAAACATATATATGCAATGAACTTTTCTTTAAGTATTAACTGTTCAATTTGCTGTACCTTGGGATGCTTGGATTTCCAGTACATTCTTGTTAGGGAAAGCTAGTCACAAAGATGTGAAAGACAGTACCAGTTGGCTATTCAGGGCTTACTATGGCAACCGTATGTTTATGGCTTACTGTTGTGTGGCGTGTGAGGTAATTGTTAAAGCGTTAACCTGCCTGGTTCTCCTTTTAGAGTATGGCACTTCCTGGAATGAACGTGCTCATGTTTTTCTTTTACCCTCAATGTACGTTTCCTTGGGCCACAGGTTCTATATATTTCCTTATATCTTCTTGCTGAAAAGCCAACTGAACATTTGATGGATGTAAGTCCTCTCTCCTTTTTCATCGTCTTTACAGAAAAGGGAAAATGTCATTTGAACCTGGTGGTTTCTAACATAGCTTTTAACTTTCAGGTTCTGATGTCCTTGACGAAAGAGATTTCCCCTTTCTCGATCTTAGTTGGTTTAAGTTTGTTCGGATGGGCGATCAAACAAGTTGTAAATGTGATACAGGTAGCACCTAGTACTCCAATAATTAGATGATGATTTCTCTTTGAGATTCGGAGTTGTCAGTTCTGGATATGCCAATTTGAATTATTAATTAAATACTTCTGAATTTGCTCAGATGAAGACAGCAGCTGATATTTGTGTCCTTCACGACATCAACAAGAAAGAGAGGCCTTAACAATGCTTTCCATGAAGAAGAAACAAAGCTTTCTCTCGGAGCCGAAGTTCCTGCATTCTAAAGTTTATGTCGAAAATCATGAGTTCGGCTGCTCAGCAATGTCTATGTACTGCAACTTTGCAGGTTTCTAACTTCTCGTCTTGCTACAGCTTGTGTCTGTTTTGTTGCCGTGGGAAGGAAAGATTTGATGCTTGTTGCAAGACTTGTTGATGTGGTTTTTCCCACTTTACAAGTTTTAAGAGAGTTTGGTGAGCCTTTTTTTGGCATGTGAGGCTTTCTTTCCTTACAGAACAGTTACTGATTGTTTTCAGTTAAATCTCAGTAGCTGAGGAACTCCATCGTGCGGAATTTGTAGGTTTCGCACATCCAAGTTGGAAAAGTCCTATTATGATATAGCTTTTCCACAGAACAAGTTGAATTTCATATGATTTAATCATTTAAATCTGGAGACGGAAAATGAAAAGTTGCTTTGATAATGTCATAATGGTATGTACCATCAAGCCATAACTGAAGGAGCTGATCTTTAGTCACACTCACATCTTAAAGCTCCTTCAAAACTCTTGCTGGAAAATTAGTGCAAAGTACCAGCAGTAAAGCCCAATCAAGAATCAAAATGCTTACTAATACATGTCGAACTCAAATCAACTAACAATTACGACCTGAAACTCTAAACTGAAGAGACAAAACTAAAGAAGAGCTCTCAAAACTGATAGATTGGAGACAGGATAAGACGCTATCCATCTCCTTTTCATTGCTTGTGCACCACTTTCTCCGCAGCAAAATGCAATAGAATGGCTCATTCCAATCATCTCTTCTCTAGCTGTAGCGCAAATACCCTATTTAGTAGTATCAATCAATTCAATACAAGCTGAACCCGAAAAACTGGCTAATGAGAATGGAGACACCAAGAGCGATAGCTATGAAGGAAGATGCCCATGTGAGCTTCTCAGTTATTCTAGGCACCCGGTCCTTCAACGCCTGACTACAGGACCCTATGAAAACTGTGTAGCACCCCATTGCAACAACAGTTCCCACCAAGAACATGACAAGAAAAGCCGCACCAGCCACCCGAGAAGGCAAAGCGAGTGCAGGCAAGACCATCATGAGCGCATCAGGCTGCAATCCATGAACAATCCCTGTAGCAAAGGTAGCGAATCCTATCTTCTTCTTCTGCACTACAGCAGGGGTGGCTTCAAGTGATTCATAGACGCCCACATCACACTCTCCATTTTCTAGGGCAACACAAGGTGAGGGGACCTCGGAAGCTTCCTTTATCCCCATACCGCCAATGACAAGTAGGGTAAGACCGACAACTCGAGTGCCCCAAGTTCTGAGGATCTCAATGTGGAGCCGATCCTTGAGCAGGAGAAACAGAAGACCAAAGATTACCTGGCCAGCATCATGGCCACAACCCCACAGTGCTCCAACAGCAGCACTTTCAAGACGTGTTCGACCAATTGAGAGTGGAGCCAAAGCTGCAAGGTGATCTGGACCTGAGAGTGTGTGGAGACAACCAGCAAAGAAACCAGTCCATGCGCTGCTTAAGAGTTCGGTCCGGATTAGTTTTGCTCCTAGACCAGCGGGAGCAGCGGTCTTGGCTGCTGTTTGGTAGGTTGCTAATGCCGGTGATGCAAAGATTGGGTGCATCGTGAACATCAAGATAGCTGAGAGTAGTACACAAGCCGCAACACTCATTGCCTGCAGGAAATTTCAACAATGTATTGAAGCAAAGATCACCAACCTTTGATAATAGATTGACATCAATATAGCTACCTTAGCATTTTACCACCATCACAGAATGGAAGTCCTAATCTAATTTGGAATAGGAAGTACAACTAGCTTGAAGCTATTGCATGAACTAACAACAGAATTTCCTTTCTCTTGCCCCCTATTGGAAACTATCTAAACCACTAAACTCCCCATGACCACTAATTTGTTCAAATTCAAATCAGCAGCTAAACCTAGGTCTTCAGAGAACAGGGAAAAAATGCCACCGCACACAGAACTCAAAATTCTAATAGCTACCCAATATTCCTTGCATTCCTAATCGTATCCCAACGTAGAAAATTAAACCCAGCGACATGAAACTACCTTTCGTGGCAAATGACGGGATTCGGCCGGGATCTGTAGGAGAAGATCAGAACTTGGCGCCGGGCCAGCAGGGGAATCGACGTGTAAAGGGGCCAAAGAAGGCAATTTACCAGAAGAAACGGATGATACCGACGGTGGATTCGTCTCATAATTGCAGGAGACGGTACCAGCTCGCCGGAGCTGAAGCGGCTGCCGTGGCAGAAGCGGGAAGCCGCCGAGTTTAGCGGCATCGATCCGGGGGAGACGAGGCAGAAAAGGAGTGGGTTTGCAGTGGAGTTTGAGAGGCGCCGTGGGAGAGGAAGAGTAAAGCAGCCTCTCCATGTTTGAGGAGGGAAGTCTCCGTCGTAAGGTTCGTCCTTGGCCGGAAGGTTTCCAGAGGTGGAGAAGGTTTTTGTAGCAGAAAAGTTTGGGCTTTTGTTGGGCTGATGTAGATAAAGTAGGTGGAGACAAGAAAGGAAGAAAAAGAGGGTTTGATTTAAAATGGCGATACCGGTAAAGATTTTTTCCCTCAAACTCTTCCTATTTCTTCTCTTTTGAGAATTTCCTCAAGCTCTTTCTAGCTTATACGTACAAAAAAGAAAAAAGAAAACAATGTAGAGAGTCAGTATTGAAATTGGAATGGCTTGTAGTTTTGCTATAATTTTTTTTAAAGGGGGACTTGGAAGAGGTTATTTTTATGGATATGTGAGAATTATGAGAGTTGGTGATCGAGTTATATAAATTGTCGGTAATTCATTTTATAGTCACTTGAGCAATTCATCGATTGTTAGTTTACTTGCATTATTATTAGTTAGGATTTAAGTTTTTCACTCTCCATTTTCTGATCATAATGATAACATGATACTCATGCGACTTTATAATAGAGTATTTAAATCTTTAACTATAAGTCCTAAAAATCATTTTACTCTAATTGTATCTTAACAGCAATATGTTCGATTACGAATAACCTAGAATACATTATCTGTTTTCAATTGGTAGACTTATTGATGATAAAAGAAAATGATTGATTAGCATTCTCCCCATCCATGCATAAAGAAAGGACTCAATGTTTGATAGCAAACTACTATATAATAATGGATGTTGTAGTGTACATTTCTTGAATATTAAAGTGGTGGGTTCAATAATTGAACCATATTATATGTATTAACTGACGCATGTTAAACTTACATTATTGGCTACTACATGCACACGTAATGAGATATACATTGATTCATACATAATTTTTTATTTATTTATGAAAGAATATTAGAACTAATACCAAGTTATCAGGATGTTGTTTGAGTCAATTAGAATTAAATGAGTTAATTGGTATCAACAGAATTATTTGTTAGAAAAATACATGAGTCAGTTGTTTTTTCTTTTCCGAATGATATTAAGAGAGGACAAGAGTTATACAAACAAAACTAACTAGAAACCTCCTATAAGCGACACCCTAGTGAAGCCACCCAGTAAAGTCGAAAGACTATAACTCTAGAAAAGACAATAGGAGTGCTTTATGCACCACTCTATGGGCAACACTATTGGCGGCTCTATGAACCACCCTAAACTCTATACAAACTGACAAAAAATCTAAAATCTGGCGACACTTCCGTAGCACCTAACCTCCAACGAAATCTTCTAAGACATCTTGTGGGATTTGGTTGACGACCACCTCGGAATCACCTTCCATTATCACTTGAGTCAAAGATCTTGATGCGATAACAGAGATAGCATCTCTTACTGCTAGGAGCTCTGCCAGATATAAGTTGACTACTCCCTGGTGACGCATACTGGCTGCCAACAGGCCCAACACCACATGCCCGTCTGACCCATGAATAACAAGACCAAACGAGCACCCTGAGTTACGAACAATTGCATCAAAGTGATCTTCAAATGGTCATCTAGTGGAGGCTCCCAAGATGAAGGAGGAGGAATTGGGAGGAGCGATTTGGGGGCGGAGGAGAGGATTAAAATTGGAGACTTGAAGGACCTGGTTGGAGAATTATCTAGCGAGGGAACGGTCATGAGCTTGGTAGAATTCAAAAGTCACTTTATTTCTAAACTTCCAGATTCTCCAAAGAAAACACACACATTAGAGAATATGGAATGAGGAGATCTCAGAGATCGTGACATGTCGCCACCATAGACTAAAATTAACAGTCTGGCGGAATCATTGAAATTGCTCAATCCTACTAAGGTCCACAACTTGGTGGAAAGGGGGCATCTGAAGAATAAGTGTTCAATGCTCTCTTGACGTCGCTAGCACATAGGACATCAATTGAGGCAGTTAACTCCACGGGTTTGTAGGCAACCACTATGGGGGAAAAACTACAACATACTTTACGAAACCAAAGAGATTTCTTTTAAAAAAATTCAACCAAAATAAATGGGACGATTACTATTGCTAAAATAATTATGAGCATATTAATTATGGTAATCAATTCAAATAACAGTATATGCGAATGCAATTATGATAGCTAGCTTCGCCATGTCTCGTCACAGAAAGCACCATTGGAGTGAAGGTGGACATCCAATACTTTGTAGAGAGATTCCAGCCGTAATTAAAGGAGGATAATGAGATTAAGAGTTTAGTAAACAACTTTTTAATATCCCTTCCATTAAAAAAATGGATTCGCAAAACTGGCCAATAAAGATCATATCGCGTCATTAATTGAACGCTTAAATGCCATAATTGTCATTTGCAACGTCTCCTTAGTCCGTTGACATTGAATACACAAAGTATTTAATAATACTTTTTTTTTGCATAGCAGGATGCGAAATCCAAGAAGAGAGAAATTACATGAGGGGGGGGGGGTGAGGGGAAGAAGAGTTACACTGGCGGGAAACAATCCGCCGCTCAAAAGAAACTCCCTGAATATCATCATGAAGAATGGTCACTACCCTTGCTGGCGGGTGTGCGAGCTCATTATACCGTAGGGATAGACGAGACTGTGCTTCGAGAGCCAGTCCGCGACTCTATTCCCTTCCCGGTATACATGAACAATGCGCACCAGCCAGTCATGGCTAACTCTCTTACGAATGACGGCAAGTAAGGTGGCATACAGGTACTTGCCGTTGTGGAGCAAAGGCTTGCCTATGATGTAACCCTCATCCAGTAATTATTACTAAGTAGGGGGGAGTTAATGATGGAGAGAGCCGGTGTAACGACTCAATCCCGATTGATACTAACCGACAATGGCAGCCCGACCACGCCACCGGCTTCCGGCGCACTCCGACAGCAACACTAGGACTGATCGGCAACCTGCAAACCTTCACCGCAAACCTTAACACTGAGTAAACCCACACGTTAGTTAATTCAAGTTTAGCCAATAAAAGAGAACCATGCTTCTAAACACATGGTGATAAATATTAACAAGCAAACACCTATTGAGCAACATTTCTACGACTGATTTCTGGCCAGGGCATTCCATCAACTGAAACAAAAATCCTCTAAAATAGGTTCGCTAGCTTAGTTTCATCCACAGAAAGAGCTAAAGGATACCAGAAATAAAAAATCAGACCTCTTATTCAAACGAACAACAACCATCACCAGAACAGAATCCTTGGACGAAGAGGGACCAAGGAAGGGGTTCTCGGAGAGAGGTTGAAAAGACAACAGCTAGAGGGATTTTGCAGCACAATCACCTGCGGAATGGCGTCGACAGTCATTGACGAACATTGTGATGAAGAAGACCACGAGGTAACAAATGACGGTTGTTGAGGATGAAGTTTGGGGACATGGGAGTCACGAGCATTCCTCTTGGGGTCGACGACGGAGAAGACGGTGTAAACCAATATGAAAGTGCCGATGATCTCCGCGCCACATCCGGTAGCGACGCTGTAGCTACGGCTGAGAGAGTATTCTTTGAATTTGAACTCTCCACCAAACCCTTTTTCAAGCATAGTTAGAATCATGAAATCCTCCCAAAACACATGAGTCAGTTGGTTTATAGGAAAATCTCAAATGAGTATATCGAGTCATTTTTAAATGTATCGTCTCTATAAGTCATTTTTAAATAACTTATTATTTAGTCCAGATATCATAATTTTGTTCTTGGCTATTTTTCATAAACCCATTTCTATCCTTCCGTTTATATTATTTGTTTCCCCTACATTGCTTCGTCTCCCCGTGAAATTATTATTTTTCTTTCCCTAATTTCACAGGAGAAGAAGATGTGCATCCATGTCATCCCTATCAAGCTCTCTTTACTCCAGTTTGTCTTGTCATCCGAGCTTCCGCCTTCAAGAATGAGTCGCAATCCTCCCCATGCACTAGAGCTCTCTTCTCCGTCGTTAATGACCAACGCACTCCAGCCCAAATCAACGCCTCCCTCTTGCCGTTCATCTACCTAGTGACACATCTTTACACCACCATTTTGCAAGGCATTTGCCACAATTCTTTGTAATTATTATAAATTTTAGACTTACGGAGCAATTACCTTTCTTAAACAAAGTTAACATAGAATTATTATTCTAAATTAGATAGTAAGATTATACATGCCTCATATCCAAATAATATGCTTTGTTGGTTGCAAAATGATTTTGTTTACATGGTTGATTTTATTCGGATAGGAAAAAATATATGATAAAACATTACATGTAACATCAAATGATAACACTATACAAACAATCCATTTAAAAATGATTCATCTAAATTTTTCTAAACAAACATACAAATATCTACTTTTGAAAAAATGATTCTTGGTGTAAATCACTCATGCAAACGACACCACTGATAACCACAAAAATCCACCATCACATTGCCACATAGTAGTGTCACTTGAAAAGTCAAATTTTCAATTAATGGACATTTGAATTGTCATTTATTAGTCCTCTTTAAACTTGCGGTCTATTTTATAGCCACACCCTCCACTACATTCATTCCCCATTAAGTTAATGGTTAGCTTGGGAATGATGTTTTCAACTCAATTAAAAGTTTGACTTCGGGCAACCGAGATCAGAGAGAAGAGAGAGAAAAAAAAAAAAAAAAAGAGAGAGCTCTCGCGATCGTGTTCTCCCTTTTCGGAGAAGTGGGTTGTTAACCGCCTTCGTGCGCGTATGCCCGTCGGGCTTTCCGCCGTCGTGCGGCGACGGGGCCTGACTCTCCGGAGCTGCATGGCTATAAATTTCTGGCCGTTGGAGGGTGGTGGTATGCGAATTGCAATTACTTACCCTCACTCGGCTTATTGCTCCTCGGTTTGGATTTTTTTGACCATGGCAGTAGTGCAGTTCGATGATGAAGATTTGGCGGCCGGGCTTGCCCGGGGGGAGCTTTCCCTGATCGGCCGGCTGATTGGATCCCCTCCGCCGCTCTATGCCCTGAGGATGATGTTGGGTCGTGTGTGGCGGTACAAGGGGGTTACCAAATCTCCTTGGATCTTCGACAACTTCATGCTGGTGCTAGCACGGTGGGAAGACCCAGCCCCTGCGGTGGCTGATCGTTTTCGCTGGGCTTCAATTGCGGTGCAGATCTGGAAGGTTCCGTTCGAATGCTTTACTGAGA